GGGAGGCGGAGGCTGCAGTGAACCGAGATCGTACCTCGGCTCTCCAGCTTAGGGGACAGAGTGTGGTCCTGCCTCAAAAAAACAAAAACAAAATCAAAGCCAAAGCCAAAACCAAACCTGTATATGAATGTGTGTAACGCATTGCTCGTAATTGAAAAAAGTAGAAACAATCCAAATGTCCATCGAAAGACATTTGATGAATAAATACACCGATTATTTGCTTATTTATATTGAAATATATAGAATATATTATTCCATATAATAGAATATTTTTCAGCCATATAAAGGAATGAAGTACTGTTACCTCCTATAGCATGGACAAACCTTGAAAATACTATGCTCAGAAAAAGAAGCCAGATATAAAAGGTTCCACATTGTGCAATTTCATTAACGTGAAATGTCCAGAAGACGTAAATCTAGAGACAGAAAGTAGACGAGTGTTTCCTAGGGCTGGGAGGTGGGGTGAGTTGGGAGTGGGGGTTAAGGGGCATGAGGTTTCTTTTTGGGGTGATGGAAATGTTCTGGAATTAGACAGTGGTGATTGTAACTTTATGTTTTGAGAGACAGGGTCTTACTCTGTCATCGAGGCTGGCATGTAGTGGTGCAATCATAGCTCACTAAGCCTCAGCCTGGGCTCAAGCAATCCTCTCTCCTTAGCCTCCCAAGCAGCCAGGACTACAGGACAGGTGTGTGCCACTTCATCTGGCTAATTTAAAAAAAATGTTTTTTGTAGAGATGGGAGTCTTGCAATGTTGCGCAGGCTGGTCTCAAATACCTGGCCTTAAGTGATCCTCCCCTCTTGGCCTCCCAAAATGCTGGGATTATGGGCATGAGCCACTATGCCAGACCAGCTGTAACTTTAAAAGGGTGAATTTTATGGTCTATGAATTATATCTTGATTTTAAAAGATGGTGAGAGCTCTGCACCCAGGAGCAGGGGCAGAGATCAGGAGAAAGTGTGCGGACAGGCAGGGGCCATGAATGCTGCACACCCACAAAGACCCTGTAGAGCTTCTGATTTGTCCCTGGCTGGGGTGGGGCCCTCGCTGCTGCTGCTGGCCCTGGGCCTCGGGGCTAGGCACATCCTGAAGGCAATCATTGTCTATATGTGAGGAGTTCTGGGTTTCAAATACAAAGAAAAGGGTAAGTAGGTAAAAATGAAAGTTTGTTTTAAGAAGCAAGAAAGAGCTGGCAGTGAGAAAGTAGAGGCAGTAAGTGTAGATTTCTTTCGCAGCTAAGCAATAATGAGGTCTTCAACCAGGTTGAAGATAGGATTTCTTTCTACAGTTATATTTAGGGCAATCCTAAGCAGGTTTTTTGTCCTCTAGTAGAGGGGAAAGAGGAAATCAACAAGGATACATGAACAACACTAGAGTAAAAATGGAAAATAAAAGGAATATGTATGAAGGCTGCCATGTAAGGCTAGGCTGGCTGTGCAGTGCACAGCTGTAGGAGGAACAGGTACACTGAGGTCTAGACACGCAGCCTCTCCCGGAGATGTGCCCTGCACAGTCCTTATCCTGGCATAGAGAAGCTCCCTCCTTTGAGACAGGAGCCATTGGAGAGGGGAGGAGGGTACATGGAGACACTGAGGCAGGGTGGAGGGGGGTTCAGGAGCCCCGGCTTAGGCTTTCTTCTTTGACATTTAAATAAGAGGGGAGGATCTCTTTGGAGATTAAGAGAGAATAATAGTTATTTGTGGGAGATCAAAAAAGTCTGGAGCAACGAGACAAGACAGGAAGTCGAGAACATTAAGGACTTCTCTAAGGCCAGATGGCCTGATTTCTAGTGGACTCAGCTGCCACCACCCTGTAACTTCCTCCAGCACCTGAGCCAGGGTAAGAGATCTGCAAGTGGCTCATGGGGATCACTCAGTGCTGGAAACCAGAGAGCAGGGAGAAGTCAGAGGAGCACAGCTTCCTAAGGGGGTGGCCGATGGGGCTGAGTGGAGAGGAGAAGGGGTCTGTGTGTGTCCTCATTCACCTGGGGTCCATCCCCGCTGAGCAGAGAGGAGAATGGGTCTGGGTGTGCCCTTATTCACCTGGGGTCCATCCCCACCAGTCGGAGAGGAGAATGTGTCTGTGTGTCTCCTCATTCACCTGGGATCCATTCCCACCAAGAGGAGAGGAGAATGTGTCTGTGTGTGACCTGAGATCCATCCTGGGGCCTTTCCTGAGTGCCCAGGAGGAGCTGGAGCTGACTGGGTCTCAGCACTGTTGGAGCTCAGTGGGGTGCAGGCAAGACTGGCTAAGTGACAAACCTGGACAGAGATGCCAGGAGGAGGGCCAGTGGCAGAGCTGGGAGTGAGGCCAGCAAGGACCCGGTGCAGATCTAGGCATTCAGAGGTGGAGAGCTGGGAGTCCTACGGAGGGTCCCGACTGGGGTGGAGGCCACTCATGTGAAAGGACAGGATCACACAGGGTCTAGGAGGAGGGCAGAGGACAGGAGAGAACGACAAGAGGACACCCTGGATACGGGTGGGAGACAGGACTCCGGTGCTCAAGAGCAGGCCTTGGCTCCTGGTGCCTGGACCCCACCGCGTGCTGTGCGCGTCACGTCCACCCGGTACAGCGCCTCTTCCCATGCTGGGCAAACCCTTCATTACTCTTGGCTTTTGTCACTTTCCCTGCTGTCATCATAAATACAATTTCACAGCTAAAGTCCAGCTTAGTGTATAGTAACATTCTCAATCCTCTGCTCCCATTACATAAAACATTCCTTCCTGAATTTTGTCATTCAAGGAAGAGTCTTACGGTGGTAGGCTTTCTGGAGATATTTTTCTGATTCAAATGCAAATTTGAGTTCTATACTATTCATTCATTGATTTGACAAATCTTTGTGAGTCCCCACCCTTTGTGGAGCACAGTAGGGACCAGAGGGATGAGGTCTCACCCCTGGGCGCAGATGCTGCAGCAGGTTGAACAGTACAGCAATACATGGAAATGTGCATCAGACCAGACAGGAGCAGTGCCGTGTGGAACTTCAGGGTAGGGAGGTCAGGGGAGGTCCCTGAGGAGATGCGCACAGGGCCTACTTGGACGAGGTTGGGGAGGGAGACACACAGACATTTGGGGAAAGAGCCTCCTGAGCCCCAGGGCAGGAAAGACCCGAGTGAGGTGGGTAACTGGTGTGCTCAGGCCCAGCCAGGGTGGCTGAAGAGGGAGTACCGGGAGGCGGGGGTGGCAACCAGGTCAGACAGCAGCTGGAGCTCTTGCAGGCCCCCCCACTTCAGCAAAAACAGAAACAGAGGCGGGTGCATGGGGAGGGGAGTGCAGGGGCTTGAGAATGCAGGGGGCTGGCCCAGTCAAGGGCTGAAGAACAGACCCGCCACCCACTCCCCTCTGGCTTCTACCCTGAGGGATCCCCATGATCTGCTTGCTCCTCCCCCACCCTGCAGGTGCTGGGCAGCCTTTCTGTGTGACATCCTGACGATGAACAGGTGACAGGATATGAGCTGGGAGGGGAAGCGTTGAGAGGGGTGAGGGGACCGCAGAGGGAGCAGGAGAGGCCCAAGGTAATGGGGAGGTGGCGCCTGCAGCTGCTGAGGGGACAGTGACTCTTGACGCAAGGAGCTTCCAAAAGCGCACCCTGCCCACTTCCCTTCCTCAAAGCGGCACTGATGCGGCAGGCCCAGTGAACACCTGTGATGCATAAGCTAAGCACAATAATCCTCTCCTCCTTTTTTCTGGAGTGTAGTCTCTCCACCTCTCTTGCAGCTGGCGCAGCTGCATGACCTGCTCTAGAAAGTGGGGTGTAGCTGTTGTCTGCACCGGGCTCCCCAGGAACACCTGGACTTCGCTGGGCAGAGGAGAGCCTTGCATCTGCCTCTCCCTCCTGCTTTGGAGACTGGAGCAGGTATTCCACCAGGAAGAAGAGAAGCATCATTCTGAGAATAAAGATGCAGAACAAGCCTTGGACCACACTGCCAAGCTGCCCATCAAAACCAGAGACTACCTGCCTCTGGAATTCTCTGTGAGCATAAGCCACACAGGCAGGGTCTTTCACCCGCAGCTTGAGACGCCCTGGCCCACAGACAGGCTGGGGTTGAGTGCGCAGCAAGCACTTTGGCTCTCCTCCGAGGGCAGCGTCACAGCCAGCACTGGCTCGCTCCTCCTGCAGGGCGAGGGACTCGCTGGTTACTTTATCTTTTCTAATACATTCTCTAGGAATTACTTCTTTTTAGTGGAGAAGAACCACCACTTCTTTCATAATTAGGTAACTCATGGCATCCTACTTATCTACTCTTCTTCTCAAAATGATTAATTACTAGACACACAAAAAATATAATTTATGTCTTATGAAAGCAGACTTGGAATAATTTCAGGCTTTTAAAACCACGTTGGCCTTCCTGCAGATCTGATAGTATTGTGAGCTCATATATCTTACCACTGTGAAGTCAGAGTAGAAAATACATCATCTCTTTCAGACTCCTGGAATAACTTCAGAAGTTCTGGATCCCCAGATAAATGTGCAAGAATGCGCAATTCAATCTGTGAAAAATCTGTGAGGCAGAATTCTGCATTAAGTTAGAGTTTGCCAGCAGCGTTCCTCGTGGGTGCTGACCAGTTGGCCACCCTCAGACTCTCCTCACTCAGCAGCCTGAAGGTCCACACCCCGCCTCCCGTCTGCCAGGGTCCTCTGGCCTCAGTGTCAGGAGGTGAGAAATGAAATGGGGAGGATGGTGCAAGATGAGGAGGCTCAGGAGTGAGTGAGAGTGTGTGTATGGAGGGGAGCTGTTGTTATAAATAGGATGACCAATTACCCTATTTATAGGCTGCATCAACAAAGTGACATTGGGCAAAGGCACAGAGGAGGCAAAGGAGGGCACCAAGATGGTCTCTGGGGAAGAGGAATGGCCTGGGCAAGGGCCTGGAGTGGAGGTGACTCTGAGCTGGGAGGAGCAGGGCCCAGCAAGGCCACAGGGAGCAGGGCAGACAAAGTACAGGGGTGGAGGGCAAGGGTATCTGGGATTTAGATACGGTGACATGAGGGGACACTGGAAGCAAAACTTGTCACTACGTACTGTGCCTTAGAATGTATTTGAAAGCGGCCAGGCACATTGGCTCATGCCTGTGGCTCATGCCAGCACTTTGGGAGGCCAAGGTGGGCGGATCACCTGAGGTCAGGAGTTTGAGATCAGCCTGGCCAACATGGTGAAACCCTGCCTCTACTAAAAATATAAAAATTAGCTGGGCCTGGTGATGCACACCTGGAATCCCAGTTACTTGGGAGGCTGAGGCAGGAGAATCACTTGAACCCAGAACCCAGGAGGCAGACGTTGCAGTGAGCCGAGATTATGCCACTGTACTCCAGCCTGGGCAACAAGAGCGAGACCGTCTCAAAAAAAAAAATAATTTATTTGAAGGAATGAATTATATAAGGACCTTTGAATTATTCAATTTCTAAACATTTGAACTCCATGAAAATTCATCAAGTAAGCTACAGCAACGTACCTGCTGCTAGAAAGGTGTGGCCTTTGGATGAAACAAACATGGCCCTCGGGGAGATGGTGAGAATCTCGTCTTCTTTACCTGAATTGTTTTTTCAAGAGCATTTAGTGAATTTGGTCATGAACTGACTCGTAGCTAGTCCTCAATACAATATTATTTGAATATTATTCTAAAGTTAAGAGTTAAGATTTTAAATTTTTCTGAATATTTTTATTAAGTTTTTTAGAGATGGAGGGGTCTCACTTTATTGCCCAGGCTGGAGTGCAGTGGCACAATCATAGCTCACTACAGCCTTGCACTCCAGGGCTTAAGCAATACTCCTGCCTCAGCCTACCAAAGCAGCTGGGACTACAGGTACACACCACCATCACCACCTAATTTTTAATTTTCCTGAGGGACAGGCTCCCACTATATTGCCCAGGCTGGTCTCAAACTCCTGGACTTAAGTGATCCTCCTGCCTTGGCCTCCCAAATTGCTGGGATTGCAGGTGTGAGCCAAGGCACCTGTCCTTAATGTAATTTAAAAAATAACATATTACTACTGAAAGCTAACTAGGTTTTCTGATTTTAAATTTTTCTGTTCTTGGCCGGGCCGGTGGTTCACGCCTGTAATCCCAGCACTTTGGGAGGCCAAGGACAGCGAATCACTTTACGTTGGAGTTCAAGACCAGCCTGACCAACATGGAGAAACCCTATCTCTACTAAAAAAAAACAAAATTAGCCAGGCATGGTGGCACATGCCTGTAATGCCAGCTACTCAGGAGGCCGAGGCAGGAGAACTGCTTGAATCAGGGAGGCGGAGGTTGCAGTGAGCTGAGATTGTGCCATTGCACTCCAGCCTGGGCAACAAGAACAACACTCTGTCTCAAAAAACATATATATATGGCCACGCACAGTGGCTCACGCCTGTAATCCCAGCACTTTGGGAGGCTGAGGCAGGCGGATCACGAGGTCAGGGGTTCGAGATCAGCCTGGCCAACATGGTGAAACCCTGTCTCTACCAAAAACACAAAAATTAGCTGGGCACAGTGGTACATGCCTGTAGTCTCACCTATTCTGGAGGCTGAGGCAGAAGAATGGCTTGAACCTGGGAGGCAGTGGTTGCAGTGCAGTGAGCCAAGATTGTGCCACTCCAGCCTGGGCGACAGAGCGAGACTTCATCTCAAAAAAAAATAATAATAAAAAAATAAAAAAATTCTGTTCTGTCTAGAATTCTTAATGAAAAAAGGAAAACCCAGACATTGACAACTGAATGCATTCCAGTGAAAGCAATCTTGAAACTCAGAGCCTCACTGATGGAAGGTCTATGTGGGAAGCACAGCTGTGATTTTCCCACTAAAGACATTTTAAAGGGGCAGCAGGGGATGAAGCTGCTCAGGAGCCCTCTCCATGGACACTGTTTCAGGACAGTCAAATGTATTTTAGAAAGGACTACTCATTGGGACCGGGCACAGTGGCTCACACTTATAATACCAGCACTTTGGGAGGCCGAGACAGGAGGATCACTTGAGCCCAGGAGTTTGAGACCAGCCGGAGAAGCATGGTGAAACCCTGTCTTTACTGAAAATACAAAAAATTGACTGGGCATGCTGGTGGGTGCCTATAATCCCAGCTACTCGAAAGGCTGAGACAGGAGAATTGCTTGAACCCAGGAGGCAGAGGTTGCAGTGAGCTGAGATTGCACCATTGCACTCCAGCCTGGGCAACAGAGTGAGACTCCATCTCAAAAAAAAGAAAAGAAAAGAAAAGAAAGGACTGCTCATCGGGTTTCCTTGTTTTGCTAGGACCTTCCTGCACAGCAGGGTCCCCAGCAGAGGGGCAGGAGTGCCACTGCCGAGGGTAGGAGTGTATGGGGCATGGGCGGAAAAACTCTCATTTGCTCAGATTGGAACTTTCTCTTTTTTATAAATGTACCCATCAGTGTTACAGCAGAATAGCTTAAAAGAAAGAAGAGTGTTAGTATGCTTTTATAAACATTTCCAGTAATTTTCAGACTTTAATAAGCACTAGTGCTATTACATGTTTGTTTTTTCTTTATTGGGAGGCTGGTGGGGGAAGAGATGGTAGGAGGAAAGCTACTTTCCTGATATAATTATCATCTATTTCTACTTGTAAACGGCTAACAGGGAGGTACCATATCACTTTAGCTGTTTATTATTTTTTCAATGTATATTTAAATCCTGGTCATGCAAATACAGAGAACTTCAGGAAAGTGAAGCAGTTAGTTATATAGAAAAGCAATGACAAGTAACTTTTAAAAAAATGTTTAAAAGGGCACAGTGGCTCATATTTGTAATCCCAGCACTTTGGAAGTCCAAGGTGGGAGGATCACTTGAACCCAGGAGTTTGAGAGCAGCCTTAGCAACATGGCAAAGCCCCATGTCTACAAAAAATACACAGACACACACATACACACAAAATTAGCCAGGTACGGTGGTGCATGCCTTTAGGCCCAGCTACCCAGGAGGGTGAGGTGGGAGAATCACCTGATCCCAGGGGGTCAAGGCTGCAGTGAGCCGTGATTGCACAACTGTACTCCAGACTGGGTGACAGAGTGACACCCTGTCTCAAAAAAGAGTTATCCAAGACTTTAGCAAGGTAGAAATGAGTTACCTTTAAAATTCTTAGGTTTCGTAATCTGAATTGGGTGCTTGGAGATACCTTGGATATTCTGTTAATAATAAGAGAATAGCTTTAGTCAAAATATCTACTCTTAATCTGTACCACTTAGGGTATTTAACATACATCACATTTTACTAAACATTAAAACAAGTAAGCCAATGTGTCATGCATAAGCACATTAACACTTAATACAATTGTCTAATATCAAAATATAATTTTGGTGAATATACCACTAAATCCACTCAGCAGATTTGAGAACAATTCCCTTTGACTCTAGCCTGTGTGACCTTTAACATAATTACGTACAGTCATTCTTTTTACAGCAGCACAAATTATGAACTCAGTTAACTTAAAAATTCCTACATTATATGCTAAAGGTAGGTTTCTGTGAAATTTGTGTATTGGACGTTTATTTTAGAACATATTTTAAGATGAAAATTTTGGTCTCTTTGACGCTGGTCATTCCCCTTGCTCACTGCTCCTGGCACTTGGTACCTGCCTCTGCCTTAGCCTGTCCTATACCTGGTGGCTTGGGTTGTGTTCCGTGCAAACTGTTGGGGCCATTTGTTAAGCACCTTCACACTTTTACAACTTGGGCAATGTGCAATAGTTCACATGCTTCTAGACTGTTTCAACTATTCAAATCATGAGAATTTCTGTTACAACATCCTTTGGATTCTTGGTGGTACATTGAACAACAATCCCCTGCTTTGTCTGGGAATAGAACTCATTGGGCATTATCAGTTGGTCTTGACTCCCTAGGTAAATCTGACAAATTGTGCCAAGCATCAAAGTCCTGCAGTCTTACGGCGATGCTCCATAGATCCCACTAGAAACACTGGGAAGTGGTAGGGCCACAATGTCATCCTCACTTTTTTTTTTTTTAAGATGAGGATGTGAAGGCCTTGGGGTATTAAGTCAGTGGCTCTCAAGTTTTCTAAACGTTAGAATCACATGATACTTTAGAAAATACCCAATATTTACAGTAAAAGCTCAATAATAGTGTAGAGATGACAGAGAAAAGAGCTATTAAACTTGAAAAGAAGTCAATAGAAACTAATCTAAAGAAGGGAAGAACAATAAACAAAGCCTCAGGGACCTGTGAGATAATATAAAAATACAGTATCAAATTGTGTTCTCTTAGTTCCTGGAGAAAAGAAAGAGACTTGTGCAGAAAAAATTTTCTTAAATAATGGCTTAAAATTCTGAAATTTAGTAAAAGACATGTCTTTTCCAATTTCAAAAGCCAAACAACCCTAAATATGGTAAATTGAAAGCTAACCAGGCCCAGAAACATCATAATCAAACTGCTGAAAAACTATGATTTAAAAAAAAAAATACTGAAAATGGCCAGAGCAAAATGATACTTTATATGCCAGGGAACAGCAATGTGAACGACTGCAGATTTCTCCTCAGGGACCATGTAGGCCAGAAGACAGTGGAACCACAACTTTCACATGCTGAAAGAAAGGAACTGCCAACTCAGAACTCTTTCTTCACCATCATTCTCAGCAAACTAACACAGGAACAGAAAACCAAACACCACATGTTCTCACTTATAAGTGGGAGCTGAACAAGTGCACATGCACACACAGAGGGGAAAAACACACACCAGAGCCAATCGGGGGTAGGGGGCGGGGGCAGGAAGAGCATTAGGACAAATAGCTAATGTATACTGGTCTTAAAACCTAGATGATGGGTTGATGGGTACAGCAAACCACCATGGCACACATATATCTATGTAATAAACCTACACGTTCTGCACCTGTATCCCAGAACTTAAAGTAAAATAAATTAAAAAATAAAAAAAATAAAAAAAAAAAGAAAACTCTTTCTTCAGCAAACACATCCTCCAGGAACGAAAGTGAGTTAAAGACATTCTCACATGAATAAAAATTAAGGTATTCTGTCATCTGCAGACCTAATCTAAAAGAAATGCTACAGAAAATTCTTCGGGCTGAAGGAAAATGTTTCCAAAGGGAAACCTGGAACTTCAGGAATGAAGGATGAGCAACAGAAATGATCAATATCTGGGTAAATATAATAAATCATCTTTTTTGAGTTCAATGGCTTTTGCAAGCCTTATGCATCTTATTTGAAGTGATGAAATATAAAATCTAAAAATAGCCTGTGGTTGGGCATAGTGGATCACACCTGTAATCCCAGCACTTTGGGAACCCAAGGCAGGAGGACTGCTTGTTCCTAGGAGTTTGAGACCAGCCTGACGTAAATTTACATGGCCATTATTTTTTTAAAAAAGGCAAATGATAACATGCTGGCAATAATGCAAAGAAAGGGGGAACTCTAGTACACTGGTAGGAAAGTAAATTAGTGCAGCCATATGGAAAACAGTATGGAGATTCCTCAAAAGAAAAATTAAAATACCGTATGATCCAGCAATTCCACTGCAGGGTACGTATGGAAAATAAATCAGTATAAAAATAAGTATCTGCACTCCCATGTTTACTACAGCCCTGTTCACAACAGTCAAAATACAGAATCAGCCTACGTGTCTGTCAATGAGTGAACAGATGAAGAAAATGTGCTAAATATACACAATGAAATACTATTCTGCTATAGAAAGAATGACATCCTGTCATTAGCAGCAACATGGATGAGCCTGGAGGCCATTATGTTAAGGGAAATAAATCAGTGAATTAAAACTGCATGTTTAATTCCAGTATATATACATAGTGATAGCAGAATTGTTCACCTGTACCCCTGTGGAAAGCAACTTTATTAACCAGACTGCAGTAATTGTGTTCAGTTCCTTCTACCTTTTGCCTTTAGGACCCTATTCATTTCAGGTTGGCGTCTTTTTTTTCCCCTGCTCCCCCCAACAACTTTTCCCAGTGAGGTTGTTTCACACAAATTTAGTATAATTAGATTGATACGTCACATTCTGTTTCCTATCTTGAGATCCCCTGACTTCACAAATGACTTTTAAAAATTTACATATTATAGTTCACTCTTGCTAGTGTACATTCTATTGGTTTTGACAAACGCATAGTGTCAGTTATCCACCATTGTAGTATCATACAAGATAGTGTTACCACCCTAAACAATCCTCTGAGCTTTACCTATCCAAACTTATTCCCAAGTCCCAGCCCTGAACTTCTGGAAACCACTAATCTGTTTACTGTTTTCTACAGTTTTGTCTTTTCTAAAATGTCACATAATTTGGAATCGTACAGTATGTAGCCTTTCCAGATTGATTTATTTCATTTGGCAATATGAATTTAAGATTCATTCATGCCTTTTTATGGTTTTATAGCTTATTTCTTTTTATCACTGAATAATATTTCTCAGTATGAATGTGTCACAGCTTATTTATTCACCTCTAAAAAAACATCTTGGTTGCTTCCGGTTTTTGGCAATTATGAATAAAGGTGCCATAAGCATTTGTGTGCAGGTTCTTTTGTGGACATAAGTGTTCAAATTAATTTGGTAGATACCTACATGTGTAATGGCTGGATCATATGACATTTAGTTTTGAAAGAAACTGCCAAACTCAAAAAGTGGCCGTACCATTTTCCATTCCCACCAGCAAGGAGTGAGAGTGACTGCTGTTCCACACCCTCACCAACTAACGGTAATGTAAGGGGTTGTTGGTTCTTGATCTTAGTCGTTCTAACAGGTATATAGTGGGATCTCATCATCGTTTTAACCTCCCACCTTTCTGATACCATGAATTCTTCTCATCCTTCAAGTCTGCACACAAGGAGACTTCTTCCTTTCCTTGAGGAAAAAACCTCTTCTAGCTCCCTAATCAAGCAGGCTGGGGGGTCTGCCACAACGCTCTGAAAAGGATCCTTGACATCTCTCAGTCCAAGTACTGACCACAATATTGAACAGCCGAGGACCTGGATCCCCCTTTCCAGGAGCACCTCGTACATGGAAAGTATGTAATACATGTGTGTTTACTGAAGGAATGAGAGGCACTGAAAGCACATCAATAATGAAAATTGAATACATATAATACACAAATTGCCACCTTTGACTAAACTCTCTCCTTCTGCTTCTGCCTTGTGCATACATCCCTCCAATGCTGATGATGTGCTGCTACACAGAACGTACCGTGATATGCAGCCCACGTTTGGGCAGCAACACAAAATGAACTCACACACAAATCTGGCCTTCTGGGAGTTACTGTCTGTCATGATGTGTATATCACACACACACAAGTCACATAACACAGGGTTCAAATGAACAAAATAAAAGGGTATCTCAGGAGACTCTCCATGGCACTCTGAGGGAAAGAGAGAGTACTTTAGGCCCCGGAGGAATGAGGCTGGGCAAATCAGCCTCACTGATGGCAAATTTCCAGGAAATCAGGAGATAGGAAGCTGCCACAGAACCACATGTTTCTTCTGTAACCAACCTTCGTGGCCCTTCAGCAAGGCCTCTCTGGAGGAGGTACCAGCCCATGCCAAGCCTTCCATGGCCAATGCTCCCCGTTGGTTGTGGCACTGTGCACCAGCCAGATCTGAGAATGTCTGTTCAAGTACACGGGTTCACGTTCCCAAACACATGAAATGCGGCCGTGCTTCTCTGTGGGCCTCTGTGATGAAAGCAGCCATCAGACAGAGCGCTGTGTCTAAACCCCATGAGCAAACACATGCTCACAGGTGTCTACGTCAACAATGAGCACATACAGCATGTGAGCTACCAAAGACCAAGGGCAACCAAAGTGGCTGTGGTGGGAAGTGACAACTAACGAGAGCCCGAACATCTGGGAGGAAGCTGGGTCCCACCGGGTGAGAGTCTGAGTGTGGGTGAGGCCTGTGGGTGGCCCCCAGCACACTGGGGGTGTGGATGAAAGTGTGGCTGTCACACGCCCATGAGAGCATCGAAGTCAGACATCACTCTAGCAAGCAGATGTCATCACAGACTGACACCAGCTGCTGGCACCCAGGGGAACTGTGCCTTTCGGGGAAGAAGAATAGAGGTACGATCACTAACTGCAGGCATCCTTTACTGGGAGGGGCCAGACTCCCCATTACTCCCCTCCGGCAAGGAGCTGGCCACCAAGGCCGACAGCAAATGGTG